CTGTTGATATAAAAGATTAAGCCTGTTGTTCTTTTGTCCCATGCTGCTGCTCATCTCCCTTGAGTCTGGCTGGGATTTTCCGGTAGCTTACGTCTTTATCTAAGACGTGTAATTTTGTATCAGCAGCATATTTTATTGGAAGGTCAAGATTAAAAAAAGCCCTCCAGCTGCCCTCTGCTAACTGAATGATACACAATGCTGTCTGGAGGGATCCTAGACCAAATTCCCAGGAGATGATGTGCATGGTGGCTATTGACTTTTAAATGAGGTGCATTTGACATTGACCTTTTGTACTGCAGTGGCAGAATACTAACAGACTAGTGGAATTCATTCAGCCTAGGCTGTTGCAAAAATCTTTTGAAAGGAACTGATAGTTTTGTGAGAAAGCAACATGTTATATTACCCATCCTTTATCTTTCTTCTCCTCTCTCTCTGCTTGTGATTACCCAATTACATATTTTTATGTATTAGAATTATGTATGGAGAGAGTAAGCTTAGTAAAAAAATGTATCTTGTTTTTATCAAATTGAGTGATGATATTTGCTCTCCTTATAATGACTACAAAGATTGTTAATTGCAATAAATATAGCTCTATACTGTACATGAATAAACATGGACATAAATAAAACATGAAACTGGAATTAAATTCCCTAAAGAAATCATGTTCACTTTTATATTACACAAATAAATGCATTTACACTCTCAGTAACTAAAGCATTTGCTAACCTCATGATCCTAATGTCACTGGGGTTAAAAGAGGCCACATTATTGACACTGTGATATACAAATTGCAGCCCATAATCACTCTGTTGTTTCTGGGGAGGTGGGGAGGTTAAAACTAGCCCTTTTCTTCAATAAGATTTTCTCCAAAGATAATAACTGTTGTGTTGTTCTTAATTCCTCCCTGCAGCCTCCATGGCTCCAGTCAGACAAATGGAGGATGGAAGATTGATTCTGTGCATTGTATTCCAGGAGAGGGAAATGAAGAACCGTTCTTCCTGCAGATTCTCCTCATCTGCCTTCTCTTCCTCTCATTAGCACTCCGCAGCAGCTAGCCAGTCATTTGGTGACAGGGAAATGATACAGTGCCGGCTATGTTTGAGAGGAAATGGCAGGGTGCGAAACCTCAGCACGGCGGGGGGTCGTGCCATGGATAAGTCGTGTTAAAGGCCAAAGAGGACACCTGGTTAAAATCAAAGAGGGCATCTGCGTCATACCTCCACCACCCAGCGCATTGAAAGACAGAGGTTAAATACTTAAAAAAACTTTAATTAAGTAAGTGTTGAGTTACTTTCATCCAGGATTATTTTTTTTCTGGTCAGTGAAAACAGCACACAAAAAGCCAAACCAATTGGTGCTGACCATAGATTTAAATTCACTTTATTGTATCTATTTCCAGCTAATTTAATAATTTCAAAACAATGTCTGCTAATTTCTACAGAGAAGTATAGAATCTAATCAAAGCTACAAGGTTTAATCTAAAAAAAACTCACAAGAAGAGAAAAGACAATTAGAGAAATTACTTTGTCTTTGGAGCTCAGACATCGGCAGGAAACAGCGTTTAATTTTGATCGATATGCATGAACAGGAGCAAAGAATAGGGCTGTTTCCCCCCAGGCCTGAAACTGTTGGTGGAGTGAAGATAGATGAAGTTGGTCAGTCTGTAGACTGCTGGTAAGCAAGACGGTCTGCTGAGCTTTATGGGGAGATCCAGTGGATTGCGTGAGCTGATACTAGAGCTTCACTCAGGGACCTGGAAGATGGAAGTCCAGTTTGGATCAGACAGGTTGATAGAACCTGTCCATGATGAGCAAGCATGAAGCGACAGTGGAGAGGAAAAACTCCCCATTGGGAAGAAACCTCTAGCAGAACCAGGCTCAATATGGCGGTCTTCTGCTGGACCGGTTGAGATGAGACAGGGAACGCAGTAAGAGACCAGGAGGAATGACACTCTGATGAAGCTTTAGCTACGATGGTGGAGGAGGGGCTGGAGGTGGGTTGAAACAGTTTCATCTGATTGAAGTCACACAGCGCAACCACTGCCTGCGCACAGGAGCAGACAAGTGGATTGGAGGCCTTTTAAGATGAACTTTGGATGCCAATTGGCTTTCATGGAGGCGTGGTTCAAAGCTGATTGGCTGTGTCGCAGGTGGATGTAGGAAAACAATGAGTTTCTTCAGGTGAACTTCCTCCTAGGCTCCATTAAACAGATTCAAAGTCACTGACATGCAGTGAATTTTAGAAATAGTTATAATACATTGCAGTTTAATTAAGATTATAATCCCATTCAGCTATGAGAATTTTCTATAAAGTCAGGCCAAGTTAACTGCATTGAGTCATTGACCTTTCATCCATTTTTGCCCCATAGGTCCGGAAAACTGCATTTAACTATTCTTTGTGTTCCTGGGGAATAAAAAAATATGTTTTAGAAAGCACAAAACATATAAGAAAGTTATATTCAATTAGGGCGGGACAGGAAGCAAAGTGACTCTAATTCTTTCTGTAATCCAACATGTGGAAAATCATTGAATGAACATAAGGGTCCACTGTGGATACACATCCGGCCATCAGTGAAGAGCTGTGTGACATACAGTAAGCTGCTGTCTCTCGGACACAAACAGGAATTTGTTGTATCTGATCCTAATGGTATCATCCACAAAAAAAGGCTTGTTATGACACCTGTAGTTTAACTGATCCACTCAGTAATTTAACAATATCACATACTTAGATAATTTGGTGATTGTCTTGAAATGACATTGGGAAAAACCTTGAGCTCAGTGAAGGTATTATACTGTATATTTAGATTTGCCTGGGAAGGCCTTTGGTTCACTTAGAATGAATGAATGGTGTCTCTGGGGAGGGGGGATGTCAAAGTTTCCCTTCTAGGCCCGATACCTTAGCGACCTGATTTTGGATAAATTTAAAGCAATGGATAAATTATTTTAAAAGAAAAAGCTGTCATCAGGCTTACATCATTTATTTTTGGGTGAAAAAAGATGACATTAACTAGTGAGTTATAATCTGTCTGTTAAAGGAATAAAGATATGCTCTAATTCTGCTTACAGTAGTATGGTGTGAACCATACAGTATAAATAACCAAATGACCATGGGAGTTACTTTATATTTTCAGTTTTCTTTATACAGAATGAGGACGCTTTGTAACTTGGCTGTTAAAAAAAACCATGAGTTTCTTTGCTTTAATCGTTATTTTTTAAGGAAATCCAATGTAAATGAATCCAAAATCATATTTCTCAAAATCTGCCAAAATCTTTATGAGCAAGTCAGTGGTTTTCAAATTCGATGATTGGAAGGCAGTCACCATAATCATAATCACTGATTGAAATGGTTTTATTGCAAGCACAGATGACAGAGGTGGTCAGTCCATGGTTTAACATGTCATACAGACCTGCATATAAAAAGGGTTGAACAGAAACACATTAAAGCTATTAAAAAAAATGAAATAAATATCCATATACAGAGGTTTACCATGTACAATATATATATCAAATGTATAATACTGAGTTAAAAAAGTATAATTAAATACTAATAAAACAGGTCTATCTCATGATGATAGGCTTGGCAAATTCAAAATATACAATACAAATGATCTAGAAGTCAATTTATTACATCAACCTTTTATTTTAAATTTGTACACCACTGCAATAATACACATTGCACTTAAAGAGATTGTTTTAACCATTTTAATCCAAAAAGTGCAGATTCATGGAGTTTTTGCTATTGCTTTTCATTTTTTGGGTAAGGGTCAGCCTATCCTGACCCAATGTTTGTCAATGTAAACCAAAAGCTAAAGCCAATTCCTTTGACTGATTGTCAAAAACAACTAGACAGGATGCTTCTCCCAGTTCTTCAGAAAAGATTTTTTTAACACCATATTTAGAAGTAAATTATCCTTTCACTTTCTAAAAAAATACTGTATAATCTATATTCAACATTTTCCTCTAATAAGCAACACTTGCTGATGTTTAAATGCTGTATGAATAGATTATAATGCACTGAAGAAAAATCCAAATTAATTATATTTAAATACTTAAGATTTTAAAGTTTTACTACTGAAACTATGTTTCACGACTGCTAGAGTAGAGATCACAAACATGGACTGAGTGTGATGATCTTAAAAGCTAACCTAACTCATGAAATGTAAAAACATCATGAAAAAAGTCAGTATTTCAGTTTGCAACTCTAATTTCATTAAACTAATTATTTTTACAGCATACAGGTCCCTTATTAGATTTGACCTTTCAACTGAAGGTCTAATTTTTCCAGGATATCTTACAAGACCTCAATGAACAGAAGAAAATAAATACCTGTTCAATGCAGATGGTGCCTTAATATACCTTAATGAGAAAAGCAGATGGTTCATGGTATGATCAAAAGGTTTTTAATACCTACATCTGTTTGAACATGTAAAAGCCTTTTTTAATTATCTTATCTTACCAGTTAAAAATGCAGAGCATAAAATAATCTAATAATAATGATTGCATTTCAGATGAAAACTTGAATGCCTAATCTTGTAATGAGAAAATTTAGAAAAGCAATGTATGTGATTGTATGAGGGGCTCTTTGAAAAAAAAGAAAAATGACAGAATTCACTTTTTTATCAAATGCCTAACTTTTAAGTAGCGCTCAATTTGCTTTAAGTACATCTCAGATTGGTTGAGCAGACCCTGGGGAAGGCTTCTCTCACAGAAGTTCATGCTTATGGCAAGAGAATTAAAAAACATACACTGATCTTCACTCAGAACGGTTTTGCATAACAAAGTCAGAGAAAGCACCCATGAACCTTCAGGAAGAATCTGATACGTCAAATGTTTTTTCATTATTTGCATTGCATACCATTTTTTTCTGTAAAAGGTGTGCAATATTCCAGTTTTTCCTCAAAACACTAAATCTGAATTGAGCGTGTGTTTTTTTGCTTACAACCTTACTCTGAAAAAATCCAAAAGTAGAGATTAATCCAGCTTAATCCAGATTAATCCAACCTCAGCCAAGTTTTGACAGGTTCTAATCAGATAAACACAGATTTGTACCTTGATTTTCGACGACAATTGGTCCTAACGCCTCCATGCTGTACGTCAAAGCTAGGAACAAGTAAGGTGGTGGAATTTTCTTTTGTTTCCTTGAACTGGCGTTTCAGCTTTGCTGATGATTCTAAATAAATGTTCCTTAGAAATATACAGAACTCTCCTTTATCATGTACCAGGCTGATTCACTGGAACCAGCCTTTGATTGACTTTGACAGGTTATGAAACTGTTTAAACCAACATGAAATAATTCAAAGAATTTAAAGATAACATATTAATAAACTGGAAGCATTCTTTGCAGTGTGTCTCTGTCAGAGAAAATGTACTCTATCTAACTTCTGCCATCTACAGGTCATAATAGAAACAGCAGCACCTCTAGACCCATGAAGATGTACTGATAAATGGCTGATGCTCAAGGCTTCTGCTGTTCTTGCAGTTCAGCCGCTGGCACTGCAGCTTTTCTGTTGAGTAATCGCTGAATGGATCAGTCACGTGCTAAAGGATTCCAACATTTTCTGCTGCCTTCCTCACATGTTTATTTCACTGCTTGTTCAGGTCTCTGTGACAGCCTCCTGATTGAGCTGCTCCATTTAGTCTTGGCATCAAACATGTGGAGACTAAGCAGGATTGCTGACTGAGTCCTGAGCACTATGAGCTGACTTGGTAAAGGGTTGCTCCTTGGCGATTCCACAAAGTGGGAAGAATAGAAAAGGCTCCTGTCTAAGCACGAGGCTCCAGCCTGTGTGACAGTTCAAACAGAGTCTGCTGATTGTCGATTATGTGAAGGTAATCAGTGTAGGCTTGAACCTCTGAGCTGCTCTTCTGGGCTATTCCATTTCCTAGAAGAAGAATGATCTTTTAATAAGCTGTGATACAACAAATCTACAAAATTATGTAGAAACACTTGAAAAACAGAAACCCTTTCCCTTTTATTATGATACAAAGGTCCAATTTATCTTTATTTGAAATGGATGGATGGATGGATGGATGGATGGATGGATGGATGGATGGATGGATGGATGGATGGATGGATGGATGGATGGATGGATGGATGGATGGANTTTATGAGTGTAATAACACGTTATGCTACATCACCATAGTAGGCATGACAAGCAGTCTGCATACTGACCCAGGTGATCTTGCTGACAGTCCCGGATGAATCTGGCCATGTCTGCTATCATGTGCTGGAGATACACATAAAAAATTTGATTAAACATCTCCTGTTCAGCATGGCTGTAAGTTTCCAGTCAAAAGGCCATATACACAAAAAGCTTACCAACTTCTCAAAATTGACCAGATTATCATGAAAGGTTTTGTTGCCTTCATGAATGAATGTGATATCTAAAGCAAAAAAAAAAGAAAGAAAATTTTTTATTTAGCTATGAAATAATTAGAATTGTCCTGTAATTATTGAATCTTCTTTTTTTCCAAACTATATGATAAGTTGTTGGGCTTCTGCGCCACCAGAGTAATAAAAACACCTTTCAAGAGTAGAGGAAGAAACGGGATCTTTGGAGATTTCATCTTCTTGAAGGATTCCCTGTAGACCTTGTGGTTGAGTGAGGGATCCTGTAAAGAAATTATAAAAATGGGCATAAGTCATCAGTAATTGATCTTTAGAAGATAATTATGGAAGGATTAGACGACAATGACTAAGTAAACCTTAAACACCATGTTGTTGTTTTTAGCTATGTGTGCCATGTTTGTCTTTCTTGATAAAGTATGGATTAACATCTATATTATCTCTTTAGCACTGATTAATTAGTATGATGATACTCAATAAGTAAACTTACTGTGACTGCCTCCAGCTCGGAAAACAACTTCTTAAATTTCCCAGGAATTTTCTAAAATGATAAAAATAAAGTTTCAGATTGTTCAACTTTTGCTTTAAAAACAGCATAATGAGAAAAAATATATATTGTAAGAAGGAAAACTGGAAATCCAACCTCCCACGTCTGACTGAGGCGGCTTACAGCAGCAGCATTCAGGCCCAAGATGATGGCAAAGAAGCTGTTGAGGTTTCTCTGTGCTTTGCAGCTTGAAAACAAAAAACAACAAAACAGTTTAGTTATACCAAGAGGTACATTTCAGCACAAAAAAAATACATTCAGCTTTATGTCACAAGAGGGCGCTGCATTCTCAGGGAAATTTAATGCTTCAGTAATATTGACAGCCAAGATCTATTGTAAAAAAAGTACTTACTGAGCAGCAATCTTAATGAACTTCTTGATGAGCTGGACCCTCTTGCAGGGTGTTGGGCATAGCAGCACCTCAGTCATCACCCACAGCTGGACTTCATTGCATCTCTGCAGGAGCAGCTCTAATTGCATTGTATGGCTGCTGTAAACATTGCGGTTGAAGGTGAAGTACACCAGTTCCTGCTATAAAACAAAGAGAGAGGATTTTAGCAGAGCAATATTGAAGCTCCTGCAAGAACGGAGGTGACACATTTAAGAGGCAACCATCTGTGCCTGTGGTTATAAGTACTGTAGAGGCTAACCTCATGCATCCTGGTGAAAATTGTCCAATCAAAGTTGGTGAGTGCAACTGCCACATCCCATGTGTTTAAATTCAGAAGGCCATTTGTCCTCTGTTGGATCTCTGAGTTGTCTGTAAATGGGTTCTGCAGAGGAAAAACACCCATCAGTTTTTTGTTGTTGTTTTTAAGGTTCATTTAAATTAGTTTATTTGCTCTTTTTTAAACAATTTGACTGGAAGGCAGTAACAAACATTCATGCAAAATTATTTGAACCTTTATAAACATGTTGATACTGGTCTAATAGCTATTATTGAAGATGATTTACTTCTAAACATGAGAGCATTTAATGGCATAGAATAAGACCCGAGAGAGACATTTGGTAATAATAGTTTATTTTGATGACAGTTTATCATGCTTTGGCAATAAAGAAATGAATTGTTGTCAAACTTTACAAATTTAAAGGGTATCATATGTTAAAGAACAAAGTAACAGATAATAAAAAAAAAAACATTGATGCTAAGCTAAAATCCATGAGAGGACTTTAATGTACCACATGAAGCACAAAGATTGGAAAGGTTTTTATGTATTTACTGATAGTTGTAACTGCTAGTTTTCTTGTTTGTTTTGTCATGTTGTTGTTTGTTCATGTTCATTCATGTTTTTTTTTTCTTTTGTCTCATTCAGTCGTCCTTATTATCTAAATAGGAGCTCCTTCATTATTGTGTTATGTTGCACTTTGACTAATCTGGCAAGAGCTAATTTCTTAATGAGTTTGTACAATAAAGCTACTGTACATCAGAACCTCTGGAAGCTTGGTGCGCAATAAATTATAAATCACAGTGACTTTGGACAAAATTAAAAATAATGGAAAATCTTTTTGAGCACTTCTCTTCATTTGAATTCAGCATTTTTGTTTATTTTGAGTCTCTTGCTGTCAGGAATCTCCTCACTTCAAACATTCTCTCTCACCAAATCTATTCCTTATAAAAGAAATAAATAAATAAATAAATAAAAAATGGCATTCCTACCATAACTTCACCAAAGTCCTTCCTGCAGACATGAAGCCTTCCTACTGGCCGTAAAGAATTGGTGAAAACTCTGTCCTGAGGTTGCAGGAGGAGTCTACCTGCAGAGAGGGAAAAACACATCACAAACAGCAGAAAGCTATTAGAAATGAGTGAGGTTGCCTGCTAGCATCTATCAGTCCTCAGAGATAAGACTCTGCAGCGGGTTCTGCTCTGAGACAGCTGGTTACGTCATTCATAGAAAATAGATACTGCTCTGCAACACTGTGAACCAGGGATACATTTAACACAGCTGATTGTCTGCCACATGCAAGCTTAACGTCTAAATACAGAAAGAAACAGGAAATACTATCTATAAAAACCTCCTCCTTAAAAATGGTCTGAACATTGGTGATGCTGGATTTCAAATCATAGTGCTTATGAATCTGTATTATGTAAAAATAAAAATAACAAAGGTACTATATTCTGCTGACAGAAGTTGCTCTTTAGAGGAAATGTGTAGCATCTTGCACCTGTAGTGTTTGCTCTCTACTGTAACCCATCGGTCAGAGTGATGTTTACCTCCAGGATAAGTGATGGCCACCAGTATCAGTTCTGATGAAGGAACATCTATCCTCTCAGCCACTGCCTGCAGCAGTTCCTGAGCTACCACCTCATAGTGGACCTTTGCACTGAGGTATGAGTCCATCGTGACATAGACACGGCACAGAGCTGGAAAAGAAGATACAGTATGCAGTCAAATTCAAGGAATTTGAATTTGAATTAAAAAAAATCATTTATTTGAGTAACTCACTAAATGAAACATTATATAGATTCATTGACAAATAACACTTTTTCAAGCCTCTATTTCTGTATGTTATCATTTCCAATTGTGGGTAATGAAAACACGTATTTTAAAACGAGAATACATACATTTTTTAAAAGATTATGTTCAATACCTGTGTAAGGTTGTTAGTTTTAACAGTTCCCTTTAATCTGATAAACGAGCATGCATGGGACACATATTTAAATCTAATATGCTTGTAGTTTGTGGCTCCTCCACACAGGGGCCCAGTGTACAGATATCTTTCTAATGTATTTCTTGCTTTCTTCGGGGACCCGTAAAGACCCCCAATATCTAACAGATTTAATGTCATTTTTTATCTCATGGTCCTATTTTCACCAAGTCTAGCACAGAAAAAAGCTGCAATTAGAAAAGTTTTATTGACATGAAAGAAATAGGTTCTGTTGCGCTTTGATGCAGGGAATTGACATTTGCTTGGATACTGTAAGTAACCTAGGAAAAGTATTAGAGTCTTCCTGGGGAGGCCACTGCTGGTGGAATGAGGTGGGACTGAGAATAGTCTGAGAGTGATGGAGGAGATGGGGCGTGGTTGGGAGAAGGTTTGTTGGCGTGCAGGAGAGAGAAGCTGGGCTAGTAGCTAAATCAAGGGGATCTTAAAAGATGATTGGCTTCAGAGGAGTGAAACTTCAACGAGGGACATTGCAGATGGTCCATGTGAAGCCCAGCTCACTTAAAATATATCAAGAATCTGCTTTTCCAAGCATGTCATCTATTTCCGTGAAAAGAGCCCTATTGTTTCAAGGTTCAAACTTAACATTTCCTTTCATTCATACTGTAAATGGCGTAGGATGGGACAAATGGTGAAGGAACGTCACATCGTAGGACTTACCTTCCTTGTTCTCCCTGTGTGTGCTGCTGGATCTCTGCCCATTCTCTTTTAAGCTCAGCTGGTGAAAAAGAGCTTTGCTCTAAAAAAAAAAAGGGGGGGAAATTCCATAGATTTGAACACAGGTTTGGAATTTAACTCTGAGCTACAATAAAAACATCATGGGATGATAGCCTTAACCCCAGATAGGAAACAAATCAGTTCTGTTTTAAAAAGAGCAAACCAAACAAAATGAAGATTCTTACATTTCTGTGGGGGGAGGTATCGTCAAAAGTGCTGCAGAAAAAAAAGAAAAGAAAAGTCAAATGCACCAGCTTTCACAGGCACACAAAAACTCACTGCTCTGCTGATGACAACCAAATCCAACACAGGCTGTAATCAGTCTAAACAGAGTATATATTTATCCACTAAATTTCCTGCAGCTTTCAGTCCATTAGTTATGCTCAAAGTCAAGTAGAGATTAAAGTGCTGAGTAGATTATAGACATTCCAATGTGATCTCTTGGTTCATCGTCCTATTCTCATCAGTTTCTCATATTCATCATGATGTATAGCCCTGTGCCTGTGATCATTCCTCAGCTTTCATGGGTTCTGCATCCCAAGCATGTTCGCACAGAACCTGCATGGAGGAATCCCTCCACTGGGGCTGGTGGCAGTGGCCAGGCGCTAATGAAAAATCCTGATTCCATCCGTCACGTTTTAACAGAGCTTCTTACAAAAAGAGCTGAGTCACTGTGGATGACAGAATGCCCATGCCACATGAGGGTAAAGAACACAGAGAACAAACTGTGTTTCATTCTCACTTTGAACCATCAGAATCACAAGAATTGATGCTCAATTTACACAAAAAGTCCAGATGGACACTGATGAGGAGGTAGGCTGGGAGGAAGGGGCCGTCTATAAAAAATGACACCTCTTCACTCAGCAGCAGATTGCTGCTGCAGTGGGAGCAGCAAAGCTTGCCTCAATCTGAGCCAGGACTGATTGTGAAAAGCCCATAAATACAAGATCATGTCAGCGTGCAACACCCACACACGGCCCAGCAGGATGATGGGGGAGTCGTGGGTTTCCCTAACAGGATATAAAAAAACAAATTCAGCTGCCAGCACCAGCAGAAGAATTATGACCTGTATGCAAAGTGATATTTTTAGGTGAAAAACTTGGTTTGGTGGCTAACAAAAAGAGGAAGGATGGAGACAGGCGTGGTCATGAGTCTGGCGACTCATGCTTTGAACCAAAACCAAACTGCATTTTTTTGTTCACTTTTAATTAATGTGAAGGCTGAATTATTACAACAAAATAACACTTCAGTATTTAATTCCTGATGTTTTTCAAATGCATATCTTACACATAGATAATGACCATATAATTATTCACTTATCACATTTAAGCATTTGTTGACCGAGGTGGACTCTTTGGAGAAAATGTCATCAGTCTATATTGAAATGGATAAATGTAGCCTATTTTAACTAGACTCAGACCTTGTAGCCCCTCTGTTAGACCCCCGCTAAGAGCAGCATCTGGTGCCGTTAGTCTGTCCTCCAGCTGCCTTAAAAGTTTCAGGCTGACCTTCCCTGTTCAACTGCACAGTTTCTGAATCCTTCATTTGAACCACGGAGCTTTCTGCTTGACTTCTACTGTACATCTTCGTTATCATCAACTATGCATGTTTCTTTTCTTTTCACATTGAGCTAAAGGACGTCTTTCTAATGTAACTGGACACTTGAAATCACTACTTTCTTTCTTCTTAATAAAGATAATATTGTAAGGAAAGTGCATTGCCAAATTTTCACCCCTTTCATCATGTTAGAATCATAACCCAGAATAAGCTATTAGAAATTTTTACGTCATTATGTTATAGAGTGAGAATTACATTATGTGGTTATAATTTTTCAGGCTTTAGTTATTGTTTTAAAATCATATATTTTAACTTTTTCTACAAGTTTCTCTGTAACCTTTCTGCTTATTCCAAGACATTTTTAACAAGTTAACTCCAGCAATGCTTTGCACACTTTAATCGTGCAAAGCATTGCTAGCGTAATGTGACTTCATCACAAAGCTTTCATGTGTCTGTTTCTTTTTTTAATGGCAGAATTGTGAGTGATTTTCTGATAAAGGACACCAATGTGGAACAAGTCAACACTCCGCTGTGTTGGCCTCACAGCGGAGAGAACATATATGCAGGTTTTCTGTTGCCTGTTTATTGAAATGTATTTTTCCTCTAAGTGATGTGATAAACATTTCTAGCAGCTGGCATTATTGCTTAAGTATTCTGAATTCCCTCTGTTCTGTTTCTTGTGTCCCAGATAAAGAGCAAAATGACCTTTAAATCTCCAAGAATAAAACCCCAGAGCACAGAGATCACTGTACAATTTCTGAATGTAGTCATTGATTAAAGGCTAAAAATGGAGGCATGATGAGAATAAATCTGTCTTTGTGTTCAGATGCTTCTCTCAGACCACCAATGTGCATCACTCTAACTGCATATTGTACATACCAAACAGAAGAAATTCAGTATAGCTACTCACTGTCTGCGTCTCAGCTGGTAGAGTTTTTGCAACTCTGTTACATCCTTCTCCAGAGCCGGGTGCTCATAAAGGTCATCTAACACGTAACGGTACAAACTCTGGAAACAAATCTGTCTGTTATCATTCTGCATATCTCCACTCATGTTCCACCCATTTGCACAGATGTCTTATTTCCTACCTTCAGGAAGACTTTGACATTCTCATCCTCCCTCAGGAAGCCTCTGCAGAGAGACATCCAATGCCACACCAGGTGCAGGACTTTCTGTTTCCTCTCCAAAGCTTCTTTTTGGTCCTGTTTAACTCTGTGACGCTTGGAACAATAGGTGCATTTTAGTTAAGGATCAGGTTGGATGACTGGAAACAAAAATACTCATGGCTACTTAAAAAAAAGCAAAATAGAAAACTTTGTTAGCTTTCAGAGTGTTCAGTTAGAAATTCATATTTGTAATGTTTATGCAGAACCACCGCTATGAAAGGATATTGCCCCAGAAGAGCTTGGCATAAATCACCGGTTGACATGTACACTGGGTATGTGAGCAAAAAATCATCCCGAAGCATATCTGCAAAGAAAAATACATATTGATTAATGGAAAATAATGCAGGCACGACACACATGCGATAAATGTTTGAGTTTTGCTTTGAAATAGGTAATGCAGGAAAAACAGGCTTAAAATGCTGCAGGAAAGCATCCTCATTAATGCACCGGTACGCTGAAGGGCAGGAACACTACCGACCCCGACAGCTGCATGATTAATATCTTGTGAACTGCTTATACTGCTAGGCTGCACTTATGATTCATATGGCCTCACTTTTTTCATGTGCTACTTTAATACCACAAGGAGAGCTTGTTCATTGCTGCCAAAAACATTTAGAGATTGCTAGGCAGAGGAAGACATGAGAAACTTCTCTTTGGCATGAAACTGTTTGGTCTGACAGAAAGAAAATAACTGAAATCTTTGGAGACATTTTCCCCTTCAAAAGCCTTTGAAGAGTATTACCTTTATTTTCACATACTGGTACATTCCATCTGCATCAGTGGGGATAAACTGATAATGTGATGGTGCATCAGATGATTTTTTTTGTCTAACTTTTTTTTTTTTATTTCTACTCACAAAGAAAAAAATCTAACATAGATGACCAATCATCCTAATTTGGTTTATAGTCTTATTTTCTCTTCATACATGTGATTATTTCTCATTTTTATTTTAAGTTGTTCTATAAGTGAGATAAATCAGGCCTGGTCAAAAATAAAATGCTCTATTTAAGTTATTTTTATTACTGGCACCATTTCTGCTTTCAAATTTTTCCCAACAAAACAAAATTGCAATAAAATACTGAAATATCACAACACATAATATGTAATATATCTGTGACATGACTTACCCAACCAGTCCTTCACTTTAATAGTATGTGTGTGAACTGATAATTTTACCCTACCATAGTGTTATATTATAAACTGAGCATAATTGGAAACGTCGAAACAGCCTCTTCTCCACCACCACCAGACGGCTGAACTGTTGAAAAAACTCTAAATCATGTTACAGACTCTGCATCCAACAAACTGACAACACTAAACTAAAACACTGCATAATTGCACCAAATATATATTTAATGCTCTGAACTTTCATATCAATGTGTTTTTTTGCACCATGTTTTTTCTCCCACACTAACATTTTATCACTGCTGCACTTTAAGAAACAGAAATGTCATAAAAGCTGTAAAAAAAAAAAGCTAAATATCATTTTGTTTACACTCTGTGTATGCAAAATAACAACAGAAGTTGTCTAAGTTTCTAATAAATCTTGTTAATTTTTTAACTAAAACCAGCAATGTGAAACAGAAGCACTGAGATAGATAAACACCTCAGTTTACACCTTGAAGAAAAAATAAATCTGTGATTTATAGAAAGAAGGTATCTAAGTGGTTTGAGAAGTAGAAAGATGAAGTTGCTTATGTTTTTGATGGCAAAAGACAAAACTACAAAAAAAAAGAGATTATATAAACTGATTATAACAGAAAGGAAGATAGTCAGCTAAAACTATTACATGTTGTTTGTTGAGGATTAATTGCTGATTGTTTCAGGTTTCCTTATACAGCATTTATTTTATTTACAGTTATTTTTAAAATTAGAGAATATTAACTGAATATTTGTTTTGGGCGTTGAAACAGCTTTACTTTTAATTCAGACAGTTATCATTTCTAATAAAGTTCAGGGCTTTTTATTTTAGCTAATATCTTCCATGTGTCAGCTGCTGGAGTAACTATTTGCTGCCTTGATTTAGCTTATTTTAGTTTATTTATTTGAAATAGAAGACTGGTCTTGGATCTGCTCAAGGTTTGACTTGTTAAAAGGAAAGTCTTTCTTCTCCACTGGCACAGCTTGCTTCCTCAGTATTGACCAAAAATCAGTTACCAAAATGCTGTCTGCAGGAGTTTGTTGGATCCATAATTATTTTCTGTACTAAACTGTACATAAATTATGAACTGAATCTGACTATTTGCAATATGAAGGCTGCAATCACAGACCCAAAGTTTGTTCTTTTCCCCATCAGGTTGAAAGTATTGTTCTTTAAAAAAATATTTATATCATGGTATCAACATATACAACCTATTTCTTTTCCTGCAGAAAAACCAAATGATGTGCTATTATTCATGGACAATTTCCCCTATCTTCAAATCACAAATTGAAAAAAAATTTATAAATAAGGAATAATTTAGTTTCATATTTTAGGACCAGCCTCCTGTGAACAGGCGTTACACAAAGAATTGTAAATTTCTTCCTTTAATTTCACACCAGCTTCCCGAGTCTTTTGTGAACGTTTCGGTCCAGCAGACTCACAGACATCATTATGTTAATCCGTTCAGAGCAGCTGTGCATACATAACTCCCTGCTTATGAGAGGGTTACTCCCTCACACACGTTGCATGCTGGAAGCAGCCATAAACAATACGGTGACACAGCTTTACCAGAAAGCCTGAAAACAACAGCAGGGACCTGAAAAACCTATTCACATACTGCACCAGTTTTACACATAAATATCTACTGTTTTTGTGTGGGGGGTGTTGCTCACTCTGCCGGTGTTTCTCCTCTAAGCTATCTAAACTGAAACAGTCTCTCTGCACAGAAACTACCTAAATCTGTAGTTTCTGCAATGTTTCTGAGTTTAAACAGCTGACTACTATTCTAATTTTATCAGCTAATATTGTGTTCTCCAGTTATTAATTGGCTCTGCATCAAAATAGTAAACACACACTTATGTTAATGCCAGACATCCATGCATAAAATCTACTGTATAGATAAAGATCAACAATCTGTTAAGTTGTAACTCCATTTATATGATGAATGACTGATTTAGACTATAGTAATGATGTTCTGTAAAACTCCCAAACCTGAACAGATTTGCATTCTCTTTAAAGTAATTGCTAAACTGATTCAGCTGTCTTTCTCCCAGGTGTATTGTTAAATCACTTGGCCTGTCCATCAGTCTGCTTAGCTGTTTTTACTCATCAATACAGTCTATAAAATAAGTCCAGCTTTTTGTCAAGTTTTTCTAAGTAGTAACAAATAAGAACCTTCTGGATTATACATGCATTCACCAAATGTGGTTTTGTTTCCTTTAGAAACATAGATTATCATCCCTAATTGTCATCCTGTCACAAAGGACCATGAGCATCCTGTCATTAGAGCAACAAATGATCTAGAACATGCTTCTGAGAGATGCCTGCTCTTCGCAGGGGAGAAATCAATATTTGCAGATTGAGCTCAGAAAAGGCTGCAGCCCTCCTGCAAGGTATTTGTAAATGTAAAGGAAGGGAACGAAACGTCAGATCTCCACTAAGCTGTGCTTCCCTCTAAAACATGCTTGTGGTTCTTCCAGATCACATACTGTAAAGGGAACTCTCTTAGCCTTCACTAATGAGGCAACTAAAAAATTACATAAACAAGGAACTGCATCTAAAATACAAAACATAAACATATAGATTTAGCGTGATGTATTTTGACTTTTTCTCTTGTTAAATTATGGCTAATTCAGTTTTATATAACACTTAGATGTTATGTACAACAAATAAGAAAAAAAAAATTTCATAGAAAATGTTCATGCCATGGCCTACACAGACTGTGGACAGTCAGTTGAACAAGAAGGTCAATTCACAACCCTTAAGGACCTGGCTGTGCTCTATCCAAGCATAGATATTTGAAAACGGAAAGTTTAGTGGAAAGAGAAAGTGCAGAACAACAAGAAGTAAAAGCAAAAGGAATAACCCTGGCTTTGAGAGGATTGTGAAGCAAATCTAATTTAAGAGTCTGGAGACATCTCACAAAGCATGGATTGAGGCTGGAGTCAGTGCGTGAAGAACCACCATAAACAAATACCTGTACAACATGGACTGGTACAGGATCCAATTAGTTCAAGATCAGATGTGAGGTACACTTCCACTTTGGAGTCCATTATGTTTATCAAATACAAATTGAATGCATTTCATTACCAGGAAATGTTCATGCTTTATTTAGATGGAGATAGATGTGGATTTTTTGTTTACAGCAGGACTTGGCACTTGTCAACTTTACCAAAGTTCCAATAAATGTTTTTAACCTTTTACTCATGCAGTTCCTTTAACCTGCTTTGAACAAGATTCAATAAGACTCAATGGATTATTCTTTGGGGGAAAATGAGAAACAACAGAGCCACGTGCATTAGTTCCGCTATTAAATAAACACCTAAACAGAACCCACCTGTGGTAACATCCTTGCCAAGCAGCATTGATGCAGTACTTTATGCAAAAGGAGTTATTATACTGTGTGATACATGAGCATATTTTCTGTGAGCTTGTATTTACATTTTAATGATTAAATTTAGTACCAAAATCTATTTACTATTCCCTTTTCCAAAAATACATTTTAGAGCTTTTTTGTGTCTTGCAATCTTCAAAATAGCCAGTAGAAAAATACAACTTGGTATTTATGGATGTGTGCGATACTTTTGTTTTACTTTTTCCAATTAAATTCCTAAACAAATTACACGTTACTATAAGTTCACCTCTAAACCCACTGAGTTTCTCCTGCAAAAAATAACAAGTCATTTCGTTCCATCTAGAAGAGCCCCACCAAACACAGCAACTTGGTAGCTGTTCAAAGAAAAAAGCATCCGAGTTTGATGACATCAAAACAACGATGCTTCTCCAAAGCGGAACCTCCAAGGAACAGCTCATAAGAAGCATCAAAGCAAAAACAACTTTTGCAGTCAAACACACACAAACACAGCAGCAGTCAAACAACTAAACATATCTAAGGATAATTAGTTACTGTTCAGGACTCCTAGTTGATATTTAATTTGATGTAAAACTAGTTCTGCAGCGGTAACCTTGGCGAGGTCACAAAAACGATCGACTGATTGTAAATTTAAGCTTTTTATCCCTGTATCTATTTCATTTGATCCCTCTTCTACTAATGATTTCAGCCTTAAATTATGACGATTCCGCATTCTAAGGAAAAAAGAATCTTGATTTTCTCTCTTTTCCATCCATTTTTATATTCTGTCTCCCCTTGTCTGACTGTTGTGCAGCTCTCATTCATCGTCACTCTTTGAGCAAAACATCTCTGGCTTCAGCAACATAGGGTCTCGTCTGCCTTGGCAACAGTGTCACATTATCATGTACCTGCTGGGATGAGAGGAAATGTGTTGATTTGTCGTTGCTGCGGGGCTGGAGAGCATGTGGCGGGGTCCGCTGCACTGTAGTCATCAGACAGTGTTGTATATTCAGTGGTTCAAAGACACATAATGCTGTGCTGTTTTTTTTTTTCTTTTGTTTTTTGAATTGAAAAAAGGTTTACTGAGGATGAAAGCAGGTAAATCCTGGTTTCAAAATGCAACAAAACATAAAATTAGAAATAAATTGGAAATGTCTCTGGAGCATTTTAGCTGCTTTTGGGTATTAGAGTCAATTCTTTTATGTTTAATTAAGGGTTTGACACAGATCACCACACCCACCAATACCACACCCAGGACAGAGTGACAATGAAAAAAACAAGCTATTTTCAGAGATATAAATGTTTTTCCAACGTACTATCAAGGGGTTGAATTTTTCTTACATCTTTCCTGTGTTGCAGGATTTTCCATGATGGTGTTAAATGGCATGACTGGGCCCATTCTAGGTTATTTTGTCATGAGATTAACAGGTGATTTGGAAGTTCTCCTTTCATTTAGGCTTAAAAAGTTTTCTTAACAGAAAACAACAAGGCTATATGCTGTTCACACTGTGCACAACCTTCTTGCTGTATTGTTGCCAAATGTATCTAAAATCCATTCACAGTGCTCATATTCCTTTTAATGCTACTGAACAGATTACAAATGAAAAATGTAAGAGATATTTGACATAAAACACCGAAATAAAAACATTAAACATTAAGACGTCTTATGTGTTTTGCAATGTTACCAGATGCATAATAGGTTATTTATAAGAATTTAGAATTAATATTGATTAAACATTGATTTGAAATGATATGGCAAAACAAAGTGAACACTTTTTTATAATTGTTGCACTATAATTGAGAACCAGTCTAATATTTCTTTCACTATAGTGAGTAGCTCTGTCCAACTTGATGATGTTTCCCAAAGACGAAATTTAGATCAGGTTAGTGTTGGAGAAGGCAGATAGTCTACTTCTTTTACATAAAGTAAACTTTACCTCAAGAATTTGCACTTATGGAAATATTTACTCATTACCAAATAAGTTTAAAGAAGAGGAGCAAAGTAAGAATGCTGACCTGACTCTTTCTGCTGGGTGGAGCTTTGGTCATCCTCCAATGTCATTACATTCAGCAGGTGATCCAGGATCTTCTCGGGGGTTCCTGACACCACCACGTACCTGTCAGACACAACAGAGTCAGCTGAGGAGTCCCTGCCGATGGAGGATAGAGATCTACTGCTGCTCCATTCCTCCTCTCCCTCTGTTCCCTCATCATCTATGTAACGAAAGTAGGGGACGTCAAAGGTGGGCATCGTCTGCGGCTCTGCCCGGCTGGTGCTGATGCTGCTGCTCTCCTCTGAGCCCTCTTCGTCCTCCTCATCCTCCTCCTGCTCCACCAAGGCTGCATGCTGCAGCAGCAGCATCCCGCCTTCCTCCAGCCGGTTCAGGGGCTGAGGAGGAGATCCCATCCTCGAAGAGTTGCCCTCACGTTGGCTGCAGTTACTGCTGCATGACACCTTGATCCATCCAGCTGGGTGTTTTCACGACGAGGGACCCTCTTCAGAATGAATGGGAAGGCTGTCTCACAGCCCAATGCTGCTCATTTATATGAATTTAATCTTGTCATTTATGGGTGGAGAGCTGAGATGTGAGCTCGCCTGAGTGAGTGTGTGATCGACAGAGCCAGAGGAGGAGACTGATGAGAGAAGAAGCACTCGAAAGAGAGAGAGGGGGAAAGAGAGACTGAGAAAGAAGGGAGGGGAGGCTTACCTCTGGGTCCTCGCCTCTTCTCTGCCTCCTCCCCTCGACCATGCAGCATGTGCTGGCTGCTCTGACAACACTCTCTGGAAAACGAGCACATCGTGGCCTCGCTCCCTCACACACAAGCGGACTGCCTCGTCACTCTGGGGCTGGAGGAAGACAGAAAAAAAAGGGAGGGGGGAAGGCTGAATCATGAAGGAGATTCCCTTTTCTCCCTCTCACATAAATCACCACTGATTTCCATCATAATACACTGTCAAAGGCAGTGCTGAAAGAGATAAAAAATGTCCATATATCATTATGTGGTCCTTATTGCATAAAGCCCATTCAGGAATTAGCATAAGTGAGTCACATATTCAAATTACTGATTTATGCACAGAGCCAATTAAATTATAGGGGATGTCTGGGGG